CTCCCCAGACTGAACCCTAGTTCCCAAGTCAGCCAGCCTCAACACCATGAATTCCTTAGGGAGGTGCCAGCCTCATCTTCTTGAACTTCCCACGCTCCTGTTGGGGGCTAAGAACAGCTTATCTCCCTGAGCCTGGCCTTCATAAGTCCATTCCATCACACTGATAGTGATATGTCAAAGAGTAGAATTGAAACAGGTGCGATGAATATTAGGAAGCAAGAGAATAATGAAAAGAAGGTCAGAAATGCTGCGAGAATGTTGAAAAAGAATAAGGCTGCAGGTGTAGATGGTATAATGTTTATATATGGATGTTGCAGGTGTAGATGGTATCATGTTTACATATGGATGTTGTCTGCTCATCAAAGGAATGGGCCTCTTGCTTAACAAGGTGTGTAAAGACTGCATCAGTGTCTGAGAATTGGAAGAATCCTTTTATCGCTCCTGTATGCTGAGGGAAAATGAGCAAGAGTGAATGCAAAAATTATAGGGGGTGAGTTTGTTAAGTATGCCTGGGATTGAGAGGGATAAAGAGGGGACACTGAGCAACATTCAGGAAGCGCAATGTGGCATGAGCTGTACAGGCCAGATTTGTGCTCTTCCAGAATGAGAAGTACATGAAAATGAAAGAGGAAGTGTGTTGATTTGGGGAAAGTGCACAATAAAGTGGATATGCTTGAATTCTGGAACTGTGATGGATGGCACGAGCGGGGAAGATTCTGGAATGGAACTGCAAGGTTGTCAGGAGGGGGGAGAGACACTCCAGGGCAAGCGCCGCCTCGGCCCCAGCAAGAGTGTGGGAAGGCGAAGAGGACGAGGCTGGCCCCTCCCTAGAGCCTCACGGGGTATATTCTATAGTAGCTGTAGATAAGTTGAGTCTGGCAAGATTCTGTCTATTAGGTACAAGTCTGAACTGTACTGGATGACCTCGTTGTAGTTCTTGGGCTGAACCTGACAGGAACGTTTTGTTTAGAAAATGGGCGTGGAGGCTGGCTGCTGGAGGAAATACATAAAATTTCCTAAACTGATAATTTGCTGAAATCAGGAGTGATCTTAAGTATCTTACAGATGTCTGAACACTAATAGGATTAAGTCAAAAGGCAACAACAATATACATTATTTAGCCACCAAGGAAGAACCATAACACATATAAACATTAGCCACAAGAACAGAAAAGGGAAAGGACTTCCAGGGGAGGGATGGTGAACTGAAGATGTCTCTGCAAAAGCGGAGCCGACAACTGCAGCGAAGACCCAGGAATCCGTGAGTAGACCGATCCCTTGGAACCTCTCTGGATAAGGAGAGGATGGCAGATCACTCACATGTGCTCTAGACAGCTGCTCCTCATGAGGAGACCACAGGACAGCGGTTTTCCATGGATTGGAGCACCAGATGATTACGGGATCAGCCATTTTGCTTGCAACTGCAGTGGAGACTTTTAAAGGACACCAAGTTTGCAAACCTCACCTTTTAATTACTTTCAGAAATTGCTCATTAATGATTTCTAAGCTATTAGAGACCTTTGGACCAACAAGTCTGAAAACGCGGAGTGAGTCTGCCTTCAGTCCTGAAGAAAATTTTAATCATAAGCTTAAGAACTTAAAGAATCTGAAATAAACAGCAAAACGCTAAATAAGATTTTGATCTAGAAAGTTATAAATGGACTAAGAGTCCAGATAAAATTGTAATATTAAAACTTTTACAATAAGATTTTGGAATTAATTATAAAGTACAAATAACTTCTTGAGGGACATAGATCCTGTTTTGGTTTTTCAAGACTTAATAAAGATAAGCAATTTTATGATTTCAAAAACTGGATACTAGGGGGAACTAAAGATTTTAGGTAGAGGAAAGATATACAGGTCTGTAAGATGATGCAAAATGTTATGACAATAAAAATACTGAAGGAGACTTTCAAAGAATGGAAAAAGAAAATAGTAGCCACAATATCAACAATGTCAGTAATGATGTCTGCTTCTGTGGATAGATTATGTCCAAAAGATGTTATTGAAGAAATGACAGATGTAGAACAAATTTTATCCAGCAAGATAGAGAAGGTGGGTTTACCACTGACAGGCCAAGAGAATGACTTAGAAAAGGATGTTTCACTGGATCTACAAAAGAAACTGGCAGAGGTTTTAAGATTTAAAAAGGAAATACAAATGACAAATCAAGAGAATGACCTGGATAATTCTTTCCTACTGGATCTACAAAAGAGGCTTGTTAAAGCCTTGAAGAACTCTGTGTGGTGGGACAAAGAAGAAATGAAGAGAAATCATATCAACTCTGTGTGGTGGGACAAAGAAGAAATGAAGAGAAATCATATCAACTCTGTGTGGTGGGACAAAGAAGAAATGAAGAGAAATCATATCCTACAAGAATATTTGAATGAACTAAAGATTAAGACTGTTAGAAGTAAAAGTAAGGAATATAAAGTTGGTTTATTTGATCAAGGTTAAAACAAAATATGTTGTTATTTCTGGCAACCCTTTACAGACTTTCTGCTGACACCAGGACTGAAAAGGTGATGTTTTATGGATTTGTTTATAGATAAGAGATGGGATCTGGGATGAAGAGATAAATGTTGGTAACCTTAGAGGGAGTGAAGAGTCACTAAATTTGTTTATACTTGTTATGATGAAGTTTTGAAGTCACTTCTTTATATATTTCTTTTCTCTTTTTTTATTATCTTCTTACTGTTCTCTTCCTTCTCTCCTTTTTCTTGTACTTTTTACTCCTTCTTTCTATTCTCTCCCCTTTAAGTTTAGTTTGTATTAGCTTTTACTATTATAAACAAAATTCTTAATAAATATTATATATGGAGAGAGAGAGAGAGAAATTGAGAAATTCCTGGTTTTCTTCCAGATTTAGAGGGTGGGCAGACACCGCTGGAAGAAGGGGTTCTGTAAATATCCAGGTCTTGCTCCATAAAGGACTTTAAGGGGGACGACCAGCACCTTTAGTTGCACCCAGAAACAAACTAGCCACTAATGCAGCTCTCAAAGCAGAGATTTTGCATGGAGAAACCAAGTGGTGTCCTTAATTCATCAAGCTGCTTCTAAACCAGGAGCAAAGAAACCTCTGCTGATATTTCAGGTTGACCATCACCAGAGGGCGCCAGATATCCTCAATTGATAGCTCCAAATAGTGGGAACATCTTTTTCTCCTTGAATTTTTAGTAATTTCAAGACTTTTGGAATCAACTTCCTATTTCTGAAAGTCCCAGCTGAAGTTTCTGGATGGTCTTCAAGGGAAAGCCCCATTAGAGAACATTACATTAATGTTCAAACAGGAGATGACCAAGGACTGGATGACCATGAATCTGGTCTCCCAAACCAGGAAAACCTGTATATGGGGCTAGATGGAGCCAAACAAAGGCCCTCCGGGAGTTGAGAGTCCAGGAGGATCCCCAGATGACAGACCACCTCTGGAGAACACAACCTTGTCCCAAAGCTGAAAATGGGACATCTGTAGAATTTGGGTGCTTCTGCTCATGGCCTCAGAGATCTTTCTCCTGGAACTGTTGGCATTTCAGCCACCATCTTCACATCTCATGTTCTATTTTGGGCAGCATTTTTCAACCCTTTTTTTTTTTTTAATCTTGCTTTTCACTGATTCCCCTGATTTCTGGGTTGCCAGAAAAACCTTGCACCCGTGGGGTGCAGGGGGGAAGCCCAGACGTGTCATGAAAGCCCCATTCTTCTTTAGGGTGTCAACACTTAGCAAAGATCCAGGGTTTGAGAGCTACCCAAGACCCCTCTTTTCAAGGAACCAGCTGAGATCGGCAGACAAACCTTTCCTTCTTTGGACAAACCTTTGATTCTTGGGAGAAGAAAAGAAAGGAAGAGGTTCCCCAAATCCTGGGTTGGGCCAAAGGGGTATCAGGAATTATTTGCAGATCCAACTCATGGAGGTTGTAGGAGGAAAGCTGTGTTAGACTCTGGAGGTAAAAAAAATCAGGAGTCTGGTAGCCCTGTTTCCAACTAATTTTATTAAAAGGCAGAAGCTTGTTACTCAGAAAAGGGACTACCAGATTCCTTCTGAATTGATGGAAGGGGGGCAGAACTGTCTTTTCCAGTGTTTCTCAATCTCGGCAACCTTAAGACGGGGGGGATTTCAATCCCCGAATTTTCCAACCACAAAAGCTTGGTGGGGGGATTTTGGGGGTTGAGGTTCAACG